TACTAAATAAAAAAAATTGTACCACTTACGGGCTATTCATGCCCGTGCCACCTCTTGGGTGACTTAATCTTAATCAATCAATCAATCAATCAATCAATCAATCGAATACTGGTCATTGCAACCAGTGGGAGAGTAAACTCACTGGTTACAGTGACCAGTGGGAGAGTAAACTCACTGGTTACAGTGACCAGTGGGAGAGTAAACTCACTGGTTACAGTGACCAGTGGGAGAGTAAACTCACTGGTTACAGTGACCAGTGGGAGAGTAAACTCACTGGTTACAGTGACCAGTGGGAGAGTAAACTCACTGGTTACAGTGACCAGTGGGAGAGTAAACTCACTGGTTACAGTGACCAGGGGAGAGTAAACTCACTGGTTACAGTGACCAGTGGGAGAGTAAACTCACTGGTTACAGTGACCAGTGGGAGAGTAAACTCACTGGTTACAGTGACCAGTGGGAGAGTAAACTCACTGGTTACAGTGACCAGTGGGAGAGTAAACTCACTGGTTACAGTGACCAGTGGGAGAGTAAACTCACTGGTTACAGTGACCAGTGGGAGAGTAAACTCACACTGGTTACAGTGACCAGTGGGAGAGTAAACTCACTGGTTACCGTGACCAGTGGGAGAGTAAACTCACACTGGTTACAGTGACCAGTGGGAGAGTAAACTCACACTGGTTACAGTGACCAGTGGGAGAGTAAACTCACACTGGTTACAGTGACCAGTGGGAGAGTAAACTCTCACTGGTTACAGTGACCAGTGCGAATTTAGTCTTCATGTAAAGATACGTTTGTATAGTACAACGCTTGTACAGTGTCCGCTTAAGCGAGATTTCCGGCATCCGCCAAATAGGTCCAGGAATCAGAATCCTATAATTCAGAGCTGCGACTGGCTCATATTTTTTTTTTAATCCAATCAACTTACAATAGTTAAATTCTCACAAAATTTCAACATAATTAACAAGCTAATGTCACTATTCTTCCTTCCCCCCCCCCAAGAGGAAAGAATAGTGACATTGTCAACCAGTGAGGATAGAGCGGCCCGTCCACCCGAGCCATTGTCGAGGCATTATGGACAAGATTTAGACTGTGAAGCCCATTAGGCTATGGAGTCCATTAGGCTATGGAGCCCATTAGACTTCGGGGGCCCATAGACTACGGAGCCCATTAGACTTCGGGGGCCCATTGGACTACGGGGGCCCATTGGACTACGGAGGCCCATTGGACTTCGGGGGCCCATTGGACTACGGGGGCCCATTAGACTTCGGGGGCCCATTGGACTACGGAGCCCATTAGACTACGGAGCCCATTAGACTACGGAGCCCATTAGACTATGGAGCCCATTAGACTATGGAGCCCATTAGACTACGGAGCCCATTAGACTACGGAGCCCATTAGACTACGGAGCCCATTAGACTACGGAGCCCATTAGACTACGGAGCCCATTAGACTACGGAGCCCATTAGGCTATGGAACCCATTACCGTTTACACTAACTGCATGTAAAACCACTTGGACTGGACGATAGAGCGACGGTCTCGCATCATGCAGGTCGGCGTTCAATCCCCGACCGTCTACTAAGTGCTTGGGCACCATTCCTTTCCCCCCCACCCCCCCCCTTCCATCCCAAATCCTTATCCTGACCCCTTATCCAAGGGCTATATAGTTGTACTGGCTTGGCGCTTTCTCCTGATAATGCCTTCCTTCCTCTCTCTAAAAAATTAATACTACGACCACCTGAAAAACTGGTAAAGAATTGCAGAAAAGATTTTTCCGATTTCAGACTTTATGAAAATGGTAGGGAAAGCTGATATTACTTTGAGTGTGCCACTGGGGTCCGACCCCCAGACTGACCTATGACAGTCCCTTCCTACCCATGTGTCATCATGAAAAGTTTGGGGGGGGGGAGGGGTGAGGCTAGCTCCAAGCCTCTGGACTCCTACGATAGACAAATAGACATTCTCTTCCATAGATATAGATATTATTATGATTATTATTGCCGATAATAATTTTGATATTAAAAAACATCGTGGTATATTATATGTTATTTTTGTCTTTTCCCGCAGGGGAGCGGACTGTCTGCGGGAGGGCGGCGCGAGCCTCCTGCGCCGCAGACGCCGCCGCAGACGCCGCCGCCGAGGCCGCAGCGCGAGGTGCGCGTCACGCCCTTCAAGCGCAGCAGGTCCAGGGTCTTCTACGCCTCGCAGACCGCAGCGTGGGCTCCCGACGGGGACCCGGGCGCCGCCGGGGACAAGACGCCCTACAGGGAGCTGAGCTTCAGTCCCCCCTGCGTCCCTACCAGCGTCGAGACCCACGACGCCAGGACCACGCCCACCTCCAAGTTCCTAACGCTATCTAGGAGTACGCCCACGCTTAGAAACACGCCCACGCTTAGAAACACGCCCACGGCTAGAAGTACGCCCACGCTTAGAAACACGCCCACGCTTAGAAACACGCCCACGGCTAGAAGTACGCCCACGCTTAGAAACACGCCCACGGCTAAAAGTACGCCCACGGCTACACAAACGGCTACAGCGACGCCGAAGTCTATAGCGACGCCGAAGTCTAGGTTCGGAACTCTTCGTAAAATCAGTCCAATGTACAAAGATTCTTGTAAGTCTAATGAGGCGATTCTGGAGGCCGGGGAGGAGACCTGCTGTAGCTCGGGCGAGGAGGCCGGGGGCGAGGTGTCCCCAGGAGGGTCCTTCCGGGGGTCCCTGCGCGGGTCCCCGTCCCACCGGTCCCAGGACTCCGGGTACTCCGACTCCGGGGAGTCCACCAACGCCCACAACGACAGCGATGGCGCCCCGACGACGCCTCCGAACGTCAAACACGTCACCCGCGTCTACTTCGGCGACGACAGCCCCGACGACGACGCGTCTCTCTTCGGGGGTAAGATTCTCCGCTCGGCCGAGCTCAAGAGCGGCCGAGTCGGGTCTCCGAGCGTCAGCCCGAACAGTCTCGGGTCCTCGGCGAGGCTCAGCCCGACCGGCAGCCCGAGCTGCCACTCCTCAGGGAGCCTGGAGGAACTCTCGGAGGAATTAGAGCACAAGAGTGTGATTGAGGCCGCGGCCGCAGCCGCCGCAGCGCGACGCACCGGCGCAGTCAGGAAGCGCAGCACCGATCTCCTAGCCACGTCGGTGGCTAGGAGACCTCAGCGGCGCGGCACCGACAACCCCGACCACAGACTCGATACCCGACGCCCGACTCCCCTCAAGGCCAGGCGACGCTGGTCTGCTGCTGATCTTCAGCAGCAGACACTCAAGCAGCGGAAACCGCAGCAGCAGCAGCAGCAGGAGCTAACAGCCGCGTCTCCAACGTACACCTCGCGAAGCACCAGCACTAACGACCTGCCCGGCGGCGCCCACGTGGGCGCCGCCGGGAGGGTGGGCGGATCGTGGTCCCTGGACGCCCTGGACGACCCCGTGCCGGCGTGGCGGGTGGCTGGCGACGCCCACCCACGCCCACACCACGCCCGCAGGACACAACACCCCGCAGCCATAGCCACGGAGATGAGGTTAGTCCACCCACCGTAGCCTAAGATTTTTTCTAACATGCGCAAAACAGCGAGCATAAATGTACATTTCCGTTCACATACATGTAGTGTGTATGAATGTGTTAATATCTGTATGAATGTATGTGTGTGTGTGTGTGTGTGTGTGTGTGTGTGTGTGTGTGTGTGTGTGTGTGTGGATGTGTATGTTTGTGTGTGTGTGTATGTTTGTGTGTGTGTGTGTTTGTAAAGCTTAAATCAACGTCCCCAAATGATTCGTTTCAATCATAAAATACTTCAGCTAACCCCCCCCCCCCCCGAACACCAAGATTCGACTCCTTGCTTTAGGCTACCATTAGAAGCCCTCACCACCGTTTGCTGACGGATGGGGCCGCGCCAACCACCAATTTCAGCCCATTATATTGCAGCCGCCATTATTCCCAACCACCACCGTTATTAATGGTCGCTACCTGTCGGCTGCTACATTAATTACAACCACTCAAATACCCGAGCAAGGTAATGTTTGGTGGGTGCTTGAGCTGAGAAACTGTCTATAGTTAGTCTACAGCTGTCGGCTGGTGATATCGGGACTATAGCTGTGGGATGGTGATATCGGGACTACAGCTGTGGGATGGTGATATCGGGACTACAGCTGTGGGATGGTGATATCGGAACTACAGCTGAGGGATGGTGATATCGGGACTACAGCTGTGGGATGGTGATATTGGGACTACAGCTGTGGGATGGTGATATTGGGACTACAGCTGTGGGATGGTGATATTGGGACTACAGCTGTGGGATGGTGATATCGGGACTACAGCTGTGGGATGGTGATATCGGGACTACAGCTGTGGGATGGTGATATCGGGACTACAGCTGTGGGATGGTGATATCGGGACTACAGCTGTGGGATGGTGATATCGGGACTACAGCTGTGGGATGGTGATATCGGGACTACAGCTGTGGGATGGTGATATCGGGACTACAGCTGTGGGATGGTGATATAGGGACTACAGCTGTGGGATGGTGATATCGGGACTACAGCTTTGGGATGGTGATATTGGGACTACAGCTTTGGGATGGTGATATTGGGACTATAGCTGTGGGATGGTGATATTGGGACTATAGCTGTGGGATGGTGATATCGGGACAACAGCCGAGGGATGGTGATATTGGGACTACAGCTGTGGGATAGTGATAATTGAAGCTACTTCGTATAGCCCCCCAAAAATATTCCTGCAGATTCATTTCACTGTTCAAACATTCTGTCAGACTCTTGCTACCCTCCCCGTCTTGACCCTTCTCGCTTCTGTCAGCTCCCTCACTAAAGTCGACTCGGAAATGGACAGATCGACAGACAGGGGAGACGTGCTTGACTGCCTGACTGACTGACAACCGTCGCCCCGGAAATTAGCTGTCAGCGCGGCGCGTCGGCCGATGGCGGGAAGTTAACAGCAAAGTCGTGACGTGTCAGTTTGTAAAGGGGGTAATTAAGACTCAGTGTTGTGCCCTGCGAACTCATTCAATTGTTTACACGCGCGTGCGTGTGTGTGTGCGCGTGTGTGTGTGTGCGTGCGTGTATGTGTGGGTGTGCGCGTGTATGTGTACTCACCTAATTGTACTCACCTAATTGTGCTTGCGGGGGTTGAGCTTTGGCTCTTTGGTCCCGCCTCTCAACTGTCAATCAACTGGTGTACAGATTCCTGAGCCTACTGGGCTCTATCATATCTACATTTGAAACTGTGTATGGAGTCAGCCTCCACCACATCACTTCCTAGTGCATTCCATTTATTAACTACTGACACTGAAAAAATTCTTTCTAACGCCTCTGTGGCTCATCTGGGTACTAAGTTTCCACCTGTGTCCCCTTGTTCTTGTCCCACCCGTGCTGAAGAGTTTGTCTTTGTCCACCCTGTCAATTCCCCTGTGTGTGCGTGTATGTGTGTGTGGGTGGGTGGGTGGGTGGGTGTGTGTGTGGGGGGGGGGGAGGCCCTAGGACCTAGGCCTAGCTGATAATTTTTTTTCTGGGCTGAGTTCAAGTTTCATGGGTGTTGACTTTTTTGTTTCTCGGTCGTGGAAAGTATTGGAACCATGGATTTTCGCGCGCGCGCCAATATTCAAATCCAATTTTGAGGGCCAGATATGTATATATATATATATATATATATATATATATATATATATATATATATATATATATATATATATATATATATATATATTTTGGTAGCAGTCTTTCCTGTAGACATATATTATTAAATATGACCGAAAAAGTAAGATTAATAATTCTAACACGAATTTTCTCAATCTTTCGTACATTACGCTTCACTGTTGGAGGTAAATCAAAAATCACTTCTCCAAAATTCATTTTTATTTCTAGTCTGACGCGACACGGGCGCGTTTCGTAAAACTTATTACATTTTCAAAGACTTCACAAATACACAACTGATTAGAACGTATCTCTGATTTTATATCTACATTTGAGTGAGGTGGGAGGGATGATGTGGCATTAACACAAGACCGAACACGAGGGGATATTAATAGGGTATTAAAAGTATCAACACAAGACAGAACAGGAACAATGGGTATTGAATAGAAGTGTTTGTAGAAAGCCTATTGGTCCATAATATTGGTCCAATAAATATAGACCAATAGGCTTTCTACAAACACTTCTATTCAATACCCATTGTTCCTGTTCTGTCTTGTGTTGATACTTTTAATACCCTATTAATATCCCCTCGTGTTCGGTCTTGTGTTAATGCCACATCATCCCTCCCACCTCACTCAAATGTAGATATAAAATCAGAGATACGTTCTAATCAGTTGTGTATTTGTGAAGTCTTTGAAAATGTAATAAGTTTTACGAAACGCGCCCGTGTCGCGTCAGACTAGAAATAAAAATGAATTTTGGAGAAGTGATTTTTGATTTACCTCCAACAGTGAAGCGTAATGTACGAAAGATTGAGAAAATTCGTGTTAGAATTATTAATCTTACTTTTTCGGTCATATTTAATAATATATGTCTACAGGAAAGACTGCTACCAAAATATATATATATATATATATATATATATATATATATATATATATATATATATATATATATATATATATATATATATATATATATATATATATATATATATATATATATATCCCCCCAAAAAAATTCACGTTTTGCACTTGCGTTTGACTTAGTAAGTTTGACTTTCCCTGTTACCTAGCAGTAAAAATAGGTACCTGGGTGTTAGTCAGCTGTCACGGGCTGCTTCCTGGGGGTGGAGGCCTGGTCGAGGACCGGGCCGCGGGGACACTAAAAAAGCCCCGAAATCATCTCAAGATAACCTCAAGATAGTAATTGCTATAAGTCCTGTTTTCGGAGGCTGGGCTGACTGTCTTATCCTTATCTCGGTTATCTTGAGATGATTTCGGGGGTTAGCGTCCCCGCGGCCCGGTCCTCTACCAGGCCTCCACCCCCAGGAAGCAGCCCGTGACAGCTGTCTTAACTCCCAGGTACCTATTTACTGCTAGGTAACAGGGGCATCAGAGTGAAAGAAACATTTTGCCCATTTGTCTCCACCTCCACCGGGGATCGAACCCGGGAACCTCAGGACTACGAATCAGAAGCGCTGTCCACCCAGCTGTCAGGCGCCTTATATTACAATTTTTTCGATTTTAGAATCTGTTATAGGCCTTTCATATGCTTTCAGAAATGTAAACATCAAGACGTTGCTGTAGGCCTACCATTGGTATCAGCCTACAAGCTACTGCGTGACTGGACAGGCTTCGCACACGCCACTGATGTTATTTTGTTTAAGTGCGCCCAGTTTTAAGGGAGCCGGTCGGCCGAGCGGACAGCACGCTGGGCTTGTGATCCTGTGGTCCTGGGTTCGATCCCAGACGCCGGCGAGAAACAATGGGCAGGGTTTCTTTCACCCTATGCTCCTGTTACCTAGCAGTAAAATAGGTACCTGGGTGTTAGTCAGCTGTCACGGGCTGCTTTCTGGGGGTGGAGGCCTGGTCGAGGACCGGGCCGCGGGGACACTAAAAGCCCCGAAATCATCTCAAGATAACCAGTGACTTGTTTTTATGTCTTCTCGGCCATTAGTATTTATTTTTCATTTAGATTCATCACTTTGCATTTACTGGGGCTGAATTCTAGTAACCACTTCGAAGAGCATTTATGCAATTTGTAAAGACACGATTACAACATTGTGCGCTCAGTTTGCTGGGGGGGGGGGAGGTTGAGATGCTCAAAAGTTACTATAGATTCATTCTAGAAAATCATTGACAGACAGACAGGTAGGTAGCAGTCCCGGTGACGTAGTGGTGAGACACTCGCCTCGTGTTTCGAGAGCACTTTGGCCTGGGTTCGTATCCCGACAGAGGAGGGATTTACTGGGCGCCAATCCTTAACTGTAGCCTCTGTTTAGCCAACAGTAAAATGGGTATCTGGTTGTTAAACGATTTAACGGGTCGTATTCCAGGGAATATTAGGATTAAGGACCTGCCCGAGACGCTACGCGTACTGCTGGCTGTATGAGAATGTAAGGTGATTGATTGATGAAGATTAAGCCACCCAAAAGGTGGCACGGGCATGAATAGCCCGTAAGTGGTGGCCCTTTTGAGCCATAAAACCCTTTTGAGCCAGTATCAATAGATGATACTGGAGATCTGTGGAGGTGCGACTGCACCCTGCGTGACGGGAGATTGAACTTTCGGGGATTGAACGCCGACCTGCATGAAGCGAGACCGTCGCTCTACCGTCCACCCCAAGTGGTTGGACAAGAATATAAAAACTCTTGTATACATGTAAATACAATAAAAGTAGAAACAACAACTGGCAAATGCATAGAGAGGTGGCCAGTTCAAGTATATTTATTAAGACAAAGAAATACATCTCCACGGGGGAGACATCTCCCGTCACGCAGGGTGCAGTCGCGCCTCCACAGATCTCCAGTATCAGCTCTTGATACTGGTAATGGCTCCAAAGGGCCAACACCACTTACGGGCTATTCATGCCC